TGTCTCAGTGTAATGGTCAATTTGCATATTAATCTTTTATTAGATAGAATTGTGCAGCACTACAATGAATATTTGTGACAAGATGGAGAATCTTATTCTATCTTTTCCTAAGATCTGCAATTCTATGGGAAATTTTATTTGCTTCATTTTCATGATGACCTAATTCAGGACCTTCTGATCTTAATAACTTACCCCTTGAATCAGTGTGAAGCATCACCTGGTCATTTCTGGATTCCTTTGTGTGCACACCTCCCGACCAGCATGGGGTATAAGACAGGGCTTCTGTTTGGTCCCATCAGCACCTTCTCCCTTATTTGTTTCTGCAGACTATCTGGCTGCTATGTTGGACACAGGCTTCTCCTGGTCCTAGCACCTGACTTCTATGTACCCCTGGGAGCAACAGTGTAGCAGGAAAAGGCAAACACAACAGGTAAGTAATGTTGTCGTAGACAATTGTTGATTGCCTTCACATATTCATTGATGCTTCTTCCGTTCTTATTGAGACTCCAAATTTTAAAGTAATATGACTTTGGGGGATATTGACCCCTCTCTCAACTCAAGGTGGACTTTAATTGGCTTAATATAATTTTCCCTCATCATATGTCTTTGGTTCAGCGAGGAGCATTTTATTTTATAGCAAGGAATTGAGAGGACACATTGCTAGTGTTTTCTCTTTCTTCCCCCCTCCCACAAAGGAATTCATTCACTGCTCTCCTGAGAGGTGAGCAAGACTTTCCCCCGAGAGAGGAAGCTGACTTGGTAAAAGGCAGATAGAAGAGAGAGAAATAGAAACTGAAATCGAGGTGACATCACTGAACTTCTGGATCAAGCCACACCTGAAGTTTGTATACCTCTGGACTTTTAGTTATTAATTGAATGACATGTATTGCCAATATCTGACTATTGTTGTTTTACTACAAAAGCCAGAAAAACCATCTTAAGGAATTATTTGAGATGAGACTACCAACATTTTGTATACACACTTTGTACATTAATCATTCAACAACTATATAGTTGGGTTCACTGACTTTAGTTAAGTCCATCTGTGGTCCATCCTAAACACTTTCTTTATATTAATTTTGCTTCAGCACTGCTTTTTCTTTCTCTCTCTCTCTTTTTTTGTTTGTTAATCCTCATCCAAGTATATTTTTCCATTGAGTTTTAGAGAGAGTATAAGGGATGGGGGTGGGGAAGAGAGGGCGGAAAGAAAGAGACATTAATGTGAGAAAGACACATGGATTGGTTGCCTCCTGCATGTGCCCTGACCAGGGTGGGGATCGAACCTGCATTGAAACCTTGAGTGGAAATCAAACCTGTGACCCTGAGCCACACTGGCCTGGGCATCACTGCTTTTTCTATGCTTAATGCTTAATGTTTCAAAACCAGTAATGGTGGTCTAGGGATTTCTGCATCAAGAATAAACACTTTTTTTCCTGGCTACGAAGCCTTCCTCTAAGGAGCTCTTATTTTCCACTGCTCCACAATATAGGAATCCTCCACTTCTCTCAAACTCATTTAGACTTCCTATGATAATAGGTCATGCTACATTCACCACAAGCATGTAAATAATATTCTTCCTGCTTAGACCTCTCTTTCTATCTTTTTTCTCTCTCTCTCCTTGTATACATTCTACTTAAGGCCATCTTTAGGCACATTATGCTTAACCATATCTTTATCCAGATCTTTTTCTTTCATCCGTTTCTATTACTCTTGAACTTTGTACCATACAATTCATAATTAATTGCATATTAATTGCTTCACACCTATAAACTCTGCCTCCTAACATTGCATGGGTCATCTACTATAGCTGTTCATAAACTTTCTAACACAGTTTAGTGTACACAGTATGAACAAAGGCATAAATGTTGAATGACTGACATTTTTAGAGTTAAACATTTGATCACTTAATTAGTATTGGATAAAAACAAAATCAGAAAGCCAACAGATGAGGGCTTATTCAAGCTGTTGTTTTGCACTTTTGACTTCTGGATGTTTCCTAGCAAAACTTCATCCAGTAAGACCATTTATCTGACATCAACTCTAATTCTAACCACTCTCCCATGTTTGAGCAACCTACTGATTTCAGCCCAGACATTGAGGGAAGCATTGTTACTTAAACACAAATGCAACTTAAGAACTATTGGAGGATTGTCAAATTCAGACTCCGCTGGAGTTTCTTGAGAAGAGAGAGCTGAACCAAAGGCTTTTTGCAGTTTGCTGGTTTTACGCCAAATGTAACTCCTTAATTGAGAGGCATCTTCCTTTGAAACCATGGGTGTCTTGGACACTGAACAGGCTTCAAAACCCATCTAATGAACTAAGTGTAAATGGCCCCAGAAATACCAAACCTATGTTTTTCTTAAAATAAACAAGTATAGAACATTTAGATGAAAAGTCCTCAGAGGCAAACCACAGTTGGATTTTAGCAGATCTGAAAACACTTAAAAAATAGTCGAAAACTTTTTGCTAATCCCAAGACATTTGGAAGAACAGTTCAACATTTTTGTGGCCTCCTGCCTCTTCAAGCCCCCTATAACCTCCACCTGTGCATCCGTCTGTTCAACACCAGTAAGCTCATCAAGGAAATGGGGTGGGGGATGGAGGTGGGTAGGCATCGAACAGCACAGGTGGGTATTGGGCATTGTGGGACCCATGCCAGAGTCACCGGATAGCCAACGCTAATTAGAGTGTGGAGGCCTTGTGATAAAGTATGCCGGATGGCCAAGGCCACTCTGAACATGGGAATCTTAATCAGAAAGTTCAAGGCTAAGGTGCCATACACAGGTGCAAGGACACAATGATCTCACACTACAATGTGCCCATCTATAAGTCAAGCGATTGATGTCAGCATTAGCAACTGACTTCTTTTGTCTAAGTGTTATACTATGCTACTGACCAGCCAGTGTGCTGATGCAGTTAAGGTGTATCAACGCTGCTGCTGCAAGAGGAGTGCAGGAAAGGCTGGAGAGAAAAAGGCAGGCACAGGGAATGCAAGACTAAGAGCTCATGGAATGCTCAGATATAGCTTCCATGTGAAGCCAGTGAGCTGGGGGGAAAGGCTAGAGAGGCTAGCGAGGCTACCGAGGCTGCTGAGAGGAGAGCCTAGGTGCCACTACTATGTGAGGTGGCCAGTCTGGAGGCAGCGTGCAGCTGCTCAGATAATGGCTGTGAGTACAGAGACTGCTACTACTGTGTAGGAAAGATATATTGGTTCACCAACAGCCTGCATGGGACTTTGCTGTGAAGGACTGTTTTGTCTGATGGCTATATGGCCACTGGCTTCTGTAATAAAGACTCATTCTTATACAACCACCATGAATCATGGCTTCTTCAGTTAGATTAGACCCAGTGTCCAAGAAGGCCCAGTCCCTGGCAGAGGGACTTAGACCCAACAGTTAGTGTAGGGAACAGGGTTTGAGAAGAAACCTGCTAAAATCCAACCGTGGTTTGTCCGTAAGGACTTTTTATCTAAATGTTTTATGCTTGTTTATTTTAAGACAAACATAGGTTTGGTATTTTTGGGTCCATTTACACTTAGCTCATTAGATGGGTTTGTAAAGGATAGTCAAGCAGAAGTTAAAAAAATATATGGACTCAGAGCAGCAGTGCTCTGTGCTGCCCTAACAGGCGTGATTCATTGTAATACTCCCTATCCACCGTCTGGGATGACCCCCACCAGTTACTTTCCTGTCTCTTACTTAGAATTTTCAAAAGAAAGCAAAGCTAACACATCTGCCAGTAGCCTGCTCTAGGATTCTACAAACATTAATTAAACTGCTGAGAGGTTTCCTTCCATCTTCCCAGCTCTTAAAGTCTCATTTGCTCTTATTCTTTATCATCATTCTTCGAATATTTGAAAACAGTGACATTCAGATGAGCCTTCTCTTTTTACATTTAAATAATTGTGATTGTTTTTCTTCCAGGTCTAATTTCCAAATTCTGTCATCATTTTTCCATTTCCTTCTATGTCTGCTTCCCCAGGGCCTTCTAAGGACACAGAAAGCAAGTTGAGGCATTAGACACCGATTTCCCTCCAAGTTCCAACTTCAAGGGGAGCTCTGCGTGGTAATTACCAAGGCAGCTCTTTGAACTCAGCCTTTCTCTGCAACATGGAAGACACCCTACATTTATTCAGTTCAGACTGTTATACATGGTATAACTGTTTTATTAACTGAAACATCTGACCGTAGGCAAGGCTTCAACCAGAAGGCTTCTTACAACCCAGGAAAGTGAAACAACTGAAAAGCTTGCATTTTATTTGGCACTTTTTCATAGTTGCAAGATCTGGTTAAAAATGTTGGGGAGGTGGCAGGATACAGAAACTGAACCTAAAGCAAATGGAAGCTGAGGGAATTTCTTGCCTATCACCAACCTCTCTGCATGAGAGATAATTTCCTTTACTCTGGTGAACAGAATATTACACTGGAAAACCCTTCAATTTAGGTGCTGAAAATCTGCAAGTCCTTGTAACACACACTAGTCCATACATTAAAAAAAAAAAAAAACACCAAACTATTTTTCTTTCCATTACAGAAGTAGCTCATGTTTACTCTGAAGAAAAATTTAAAAAAAGCAAAAGAAAAAAATTGTCCAAATCTTATCACATGGAAAAATAGAAATATTTTATAACTAATACTGTCTTTTTATATCTATTCTCTCACACATTCTATTTTTCTATCTCTTAAAAAGTAAAAACTTTTTGATAAATAGAAAAAGTCATGCTGAAAATGCTTCTTTGTAACTTACATTTTTTTTTTTTTTTTTTTTTTTGACAATGACACACGACCTGCACATAGCCAGCTGGCCGTCAGGTCCTTTATGCAGTTCAACACACAAGGTGACACCAAGTTAAGACAAGTGAAGTTCCAATTTGGGTACCTCCATCTCCCTCCCCTGAATCCTGATCCAGTGGTTGCCAAAGCCAGAAGGTGCTTGAGGTGTGGTGCTTGGTCGTGGGGAAAGCTGCAGTGGTTGGCCCAACAGATGGGGAAGGGGAAGCTTCACTTCTTCACAATCTGAATGACATCTTCGTCCTCCAACGTATGGTCTTTACCCACTTTTTGAGGATTGTGTTTCACAGAGAGACCCCAGACCAGAGCGTATTTAAATTCTTTAATAAGATTTTTGTGAATCTTCATGCAGAAATCCTCCACTGTGGTCCTGGAGTAAGGCAGTACTACTTGGGATGTGTAATCTGGCAACTGGCCTTTGGGTTTGGTGTAAATCCTCACAAGTTTCAGGTAGTCCCAGATCTTTTCCAACAGGTCATCAAAATTCCAGCGGTGATGAGCAGAGATGGGTACACAGTGAGGTACCTTATAGATGATATCCAATTCCTCAATGGAGATCTGATCAATCTTATTTAACACATAGATACAGGGGATATAAACTCTGTTTCCTTCCAACACATCAGTGAGGTCATCCGCTGTGACATCGCTACGCAGAGTCACATCGGCATTATGGATTTTGTATTCAGCCAGAATGCTCTTCACAGTTTCAGCATCCAGCTCGCTCTGAGGGCATGTGGCTGTGAGATTAATGCCTCCCTTACCCTTCTTCTTAAAGCCAATGTTGGGAGGTTTGCTGTTCAAGCGAAGGCCAAAGCCTTCCAATTCATTTTCAATGATTTTCTTATGTCCCAAGGGTTTGAGGACATCCAGAACAATCAGGATCAAGTTACACGTTCGAGCCACTGCAATGACTTGACGGCCTCTACCTTTCCCGTCCTTAGCACCCTCAATGATACCCGGGAGATCCAGGAGCTGGATCTTGGCACCTTTGTATCTGATGACACCGGGCACGGTGGTCAGAGTGGTGAATTCGTAGGCTGCCACCTCAGAATATACCCCGGCCAGGTTACTGAGCAGCGTTGACTTCCCCACGGATGGAAACCCCACAAACCCAATTCGAGCATCACCTGTCTTGGCCACATCAAAACCTTCTCCTGGCCCGCCACCGCCACCTCCCTTCGGAGTAATGAGTTCCCTGCGAAGCTTGGCCAGGCGAGCCTTCAGCAGCCCCAGGTGGTGCGCGGTGGCCTTGTTCTTCTGAGTCCGAGCCATCTCTGCTTCGATCTCCGCAATCTTGGCTAAGGTGCTGCTCATCGTGGCGAGTCGCGGGGGGGCGCAGCCGCCTCCACACGGGACTGCCTCCGCTCACACACGCCCGCCGGCGGAGCTGCCACAGCCCTGTAACTTACATTTTTCATGATAAAAATTATTTCTAAACAGAACTTTTATGCAGGCTGAGTTATAAGATTGATTCCTGGTACAAATCTATACATACATTTTTTTTGCTACCATAAACAATGCATTTTTGTATAACAAACAACAAACATCCTTGGCTCTAAGTCCTTAGGCCTAGCCAATGTCTTTCATTACAATGCATTTCTTAAAGAGAAATTGCTTGGTGAAGGGAAATGCAAAATTATAGGCTCTTGAATATGAATTACTTACCTGCTTTCCAGAAAGATTAAACTATTTTGTGCACCACCAGCAATGCATACCAATATAAATGCTTCCTTATACAAATTTTGGGTATTTTAACTAAAGATTATAATTGATAGATACAAAATAATAACTTTGTTTTTATTATATTTTTTAAAATGTAATGATTTCAGAGAGGAAGGAAAAGAGAAAAAGAGAGAAACATTGATCTGTTGTTTCACTTATTTATGCATTCACTGGTAAATTCTTTATGTGCCCTGAACAGGGATTAAACCTTGGAGTATGGGGGCAACACTCTAACCAACTGAGCTTTTATTTTATTATTAATAAGCTTGAATGTTTTCATATAAAATGTTAGCAATTGCATCCATAATTTTTGCCTATTTATCAAGAGTAAAATGTTTTTTAAAAATTAGTTAGTTAATTTAATCTTATAGGTATAGAATCTCTGCTTTCTCTTATGTGTTAAATACACGTTTCATTTTGATTGGTGTTTATTTTATTTTGGGCAATACTATTATTAAACTATAGATAGTTCTATTAATTGAATTCCAATACCATTAGCTATATTATGTATATGTTTTCTTGGCCTTTATTTAGAGAAGTTTTTTTTTATAATAATAATTTAAAATTATTTTTCATCTTTTATACTTGGCTAATGAATTTCAATACTTTATATTTTTATAGAAAACCACTCATTTTTAATTCAGACTAACCTAATTAGCATAATGTTTAACAGCTGGGTTGAAAAAATATCTTCAGCCTACTTTGTGTCTGGGGTATATACCACTTTTAAATTATGCTACTGAAATTTATTTTCTTGGTTTTGGCTGAGATTTTGTACATTTTTAATTCAATCAGTGTTTATTTTTTATTTCAATTGCCGTTTACATTCAATATTATTGTGCATTAATTCCAGGTATACAGCATAGTGGTTAAAAAAAAACATACTTTACAATTAGTTGGCATATGATTGCTCATGTATTTTCTTATAATCTTTTGTGTTTCTATGGTGTATATTGTTACTTCTCTTTCATTTCTGATTTTATTTACTTGAGTCCTCTATCTCTTTTACTTGATGAGTTTATTTAGAGTTTTATCAATTCTGTTTATCTTTTCAAAGAATCTGCTTTTGGTTTTATTTTGTACTTTTTTTGGGTACATTTTAGATTCTATTTTATTTATTTCCACTCTTATCTATGTTATTTTCTTCCTTCTGCTCACTTTGAACTTTGTTGTTATTGTTCTAATTCATTTAGGTAAAATGTCAGATTATTAATTGATTTTTTCTTGAGTTATGCCCGTATTTCTATGAATTTCCCTATTAGAACTGCTTTTGCTGTGTCCAATAGAGTTTAGATTGCTGTGTTCTCATTTTTATTTTTCTCAAGCTATCTTTTTACTTCTTTATTGAGCTCATTGTTAACCCATTCATTATTTAGTAACATGTTATATAGCCTCCATATTTTTAGTGCTTTCTTTTTTCCTTCACGAAATTGATTTTTATTTTCATACCATTGTGATCAGAGAAGAAGTTAGAAATAATTTCAATTTTTTTATGTTTATTGAATCTTGTTTTAAGGTCTAACATGGGCTCTATCCTGGAAAATATCCCATGTGCACTTGAAAAAAAGAATCCTTCAGTTTTAGGGTGTAATGTTCTGAAAATATCAATTAAATCTATATGGTCTAATGTTTTATTTAATAACGTTGTTTCCTTGTTAATTTTCTGCCCGGAAGATCTAGTTACTGACATAAGGTATTTAAGTCCCTACTATGTTTGCATTACTGCTGATGTCTCCCTGCAGGTCCATCAGTATTTGCTTTATATATTTAGGTGCATAAACATGTTGGGTGCAGAAATGTTTACAAGGGTTACTTCATCTTGTTGTATTGAACCCTTTATTATGATGTGATCATCTTCTTTGCTTCTTGTTATAGTCTAGTATGTTTCTATTGATTTTTAAACTTTTTTTTAGAGAGAAGGATAGAGATAGAAACATCGATTGGCTGCCTCCTGCTTGCCCACTACTGGGGATTGATCGGGCAACCTGGGCATTTACTCTGACCAGACATCAATGTGGTGATCTCTTGGTTTATGGTTGATGCTCAACCCATGAGCCACACTGGCTGGGATGAGATAGCCTTGTCTTTTTTCAACACACACACATACACACATACACACACACACACACACCCCTTTTAGTTCCTCAGGGTACAAAGATCTCTAAACTTCCCTCACTCTCCAAATCAACAAAACCTGAGAAATGACTTCTTTGTACATTTTATTAATCTCTTCAAGAAATTAGCTCCTGCATTTAAATGCTGCTGGAATGGCATTTGCTGGCCATTGCTTTCCCCACATTTTTGGCCATTGCTTCCTTCAAACTTTCCTTGTCTTTTACTACCCTCCAACCCCCCTGCTTTGTCACAGCTTCCGAGTTTGTCTTCTTGCTTCTTGTCTCTTACTGTTCCATCCCACCTCCAAGTCAGCACAGTCATCTTCTGGAGAGAGAAATCTGACAGATATCTTCCTCAAAGCCTCCTGTACACAGCTTGCATGGAGTCCCTCCTCCTTTGGGATGGTCGTGGGCATGGGAGGCCTGGATGCAGGAGACACTTCTGCCTGCTGGGCTTGATTGGTGTGTCTGATGGACCTCGCTGGGCACTGCTGCGTGGCCCTCAGGCTCCAGCCCCTCGTGGTTCAGGAGGTGCCAGAAACCCTCCAGCAACACCGAGGAGAGATCCTCCTTCAGCTTCCTGATGATGGTGGAATCTCAGCCTCAGCTACCTGATGATGGTGGGAGCTGGTGAAGGGCAAAGATCAAGTCTCTCCTTTAGCTCCACTTCTCAGCTGCGCTTACTGCCAAACCAGGCGGCAGCAGAAGCCCCTGAGGAAATCCTTCGGAAAGCTGGGTGTGAGGAAGATAAATAAACAGCTGAGGCTCCGGAGCCCTAGCAGGCGGTGGACCGCTCTCCCTGCAGAAAAGGGGCGGTGTGGCTGCAGAAGCGAAGGGCCCCTGATGGATGGGCACAGTGTGCATGGGGGCTTCCAACCTTGAGGGATGTGCGATTGAAAGCTCACCCTGCTCGGTGCAGCGAGAGGGTTTCCCAGGACCAGGCAGCAGCGTGTTCTGCTCACTGCATGGCCCGGCTTCCCTCCGGGGAAAGCGCTGACCCGGGCCGCCCTGCCCACGGGGATGCCTTGATGTTAATGTGCTGTTTCCGCTCACCGCAGCCTGCCATCGCCAGCTTGGGCCGGCTGTGCTGGGTTCCCTCCTGCTCTGCATTGCTCAGGGTTTTCATATGTGCTGGGGCTGTTTTCAAGCTGCCCCGCCCCAGCCTCTGCTCAGCTGAGCTGTGAAAACGGTGCGCTTTCATCTCCCCCCAGCAGCCCGCCCGCTCCCTTGATGGCTTGGCCAACATGTCTCTGAACTCCGTCCAAACTGTCTGTCTGCTCGGGATTCCGCGTCTCCTCCGCCAGGACCGGCCTCCCAGGTGCGCGGTGATTAGCGGAGGAAGGAGTCTGCAGGCTGTGATTAGCGGTAATGACAGTGATGGGAGGGGAGGGCGCCCGGAGCAGGTGGCGGGAACCAGCCACCTACTGCAGCCAGGCAGCGGACAGCCCCCTCCCACCTGAACATTGTGGCTCCTGCTCTTACCGCAGCAGCGTTTACTATAGAAATTATAATAAAGTAGAAAGTTCGAAAAATGCATTGTAGAAAGTTTAAAAAATTCATAAAACATAAATAAATCAGTATAAATTACCTGCCATGCATGGTAACAACCACTGCTAATATTTTGGTGCCTTTTGTTTGTTTGCTTTTTGTCCAGATTTGGTTCACACTCCCAGGCTCACACATGCTTACTGGTGAGTGCATGCACTGCAGACGGCTTCCTGCTGTGTGGGCATCATTTTGAATCCTCTCTCCTATGACATCACAGGGAGTTTCCTACATCACCAGAGACTCTCCTATACATATTTTAATGGTTACACGGAAATCTATGGACATATTTTTTAAATATATATTTTATTGATTTTTTTTACAGAGAGGAAGGGAGAGGGCTAGAGAGCTAGAAACATCGATGAGAGAGAAACATCGATCAGCTGCCTCCTGCATAACCCCCACCGGGGATGTGCCCGCAACCAATGTACATGCCCTTGACCGGAATCGAACCTGGGACCTTTCAGTCTGCAGACCGATGCTCTACCACTGAGCCAAACCGGTTTCGGCATATGGACACATTTTAATGTTACACAGAAACCTATGTCTGATGATGTTTTTGGCCACTGCCTGGTGGCTGAGCCTGTGCCATCATGCTAACACTGTAAGGGAGGAATATGGGACGAGCAAGTGAAGTGACCCAGCCTGTCATCCAGAGAGGCTCTGACAGGAGACACACCTCACATGCTCCCTTCTGTGCATGAGGACAAAGGCCAAAGGTTAAGCCTTGTGCCAGGCGGCTGGGGCAGGGGAAGAGCTTTGTGTGTGAGAAGGAGATTTGGAAAAGCCTTCCTAGTGTCTAGGTTGTAACCTCTCAGTCACACAGAGAGATGACTGTGAGCAGAGGCGAGGAAAGAGGCACACGAGGGAGGAGGAGCAGCTTTGCACACCCATCCCGGAAGGCAGTGTTGAGACTCACTCACACCTCCAGGC